GCTGGGTACAGAGGGTGGCTGTTATAAGGATTTCTGCTAGACTAATGCTGGTCTGTTGGCTTTATGGGTTCGGTAGGTCTGGAGCCAAACCTGCCTGAATCCAGCCAACACCGTGCCATACCTGGCCCCCACCTCACAACGGTGTGGCACCCAACTACGTGGCTCATACCTCCAGGGTTTGTTCTGGGGGTAGATGAGCGCAGGAGAGGATTACACCCCTGACCACCAGCAGAGCATGGGGGAAAAGAAGGAATCACACCTTTCCTATTGTCAGTGTGAATTTGCTCTGCTAGGCCACCTTCTGTCGCCAAAACTCATCACAATAGTTCAAGATGGTCTTAACTTGCCTGGTCAGTCGATCACTACTCTTTTGCCGTATCTGCTTAGTTTCTCCTCCGAGCAATCACTCAATCCACCTCTCTAAGCTTTTGTATGAAGTTCAGGGTTCCAGGATTTTTATTTGTGTCTGTTTCATTTGGTCTCTCCTATCTGTTTTGTAGAGGGTCCGTATATTGTACCTACTTAGTCCACCATCTTGCCACAAGTGATCCTAAAATCCATTCTACCAAATAGCATATAAAGTATCTTTCTCATCTGACTTATCATTCCTCATCTGCCTTGTACCTTATACCTGAACTCTAGTCAGTTTCAATTCTAGAATGTCTGGAAGTGACTTAGATTTTTCTCATGCTTCCTTGGCCTTTGTATATGCATCTTTCTTTGCCTCTTTAGTTTCTTCTTCTCCCTGGCATTTTTTTCTGGCCAACTCCTAACCAAGTTTCCATACTCAGTTCAAGGGTCATGAATGTCTTCAGCTGCTCAGCTCCCATAAAACTTTTTGCTTTATTCTCTCATATTTACATTATTTTCCTCACTGGTCAGGAAAATAGGGTAAATATGAGAGAATAAAGCCTGAGGGTAGAAACCCTGTCTTATTAATCCTTGTTCTCTGCCAGTGACAGAGGTATTAGGTATTAGGTATTCAAAAATAGTTTGATTAATAAATTAATAATCAACATGTAATTAATGGCTTCTAATGATTTTTTTTTCTTATTTCAGACCAAACGGCTACCTTGTAGCTGCTTTTCTCTTTCTCCTAATGCTGCTGTTCTTCAGTATTCTCGTTTTGAGCTACTTCCAGTATATGAAGATTTACAGACAATTTATTTATCAATCACATCACATATCTGAAAGAAAAAAGAAAATGTAGGAAGACCTAAAGTTGTACTATGGATATATGTGGATAGAGGAAGTATGTTTATTTGTTTATTATTTATGATAAGAGCTTACGTTTGACCAAGAAGTACTAAATATATGCTCATAGTAAATATCATTCAATTCAAAACCTGAAAGCTGATCTTCATTTATCACAAGAGAGAAATATTTTTATATATGTTGTGTGCTATAAAATTCTGAATGTGTTTGCATTTCTTTTAAGGAAACTCTATGTACTTAAAATGGCATTGTAAAAAATTAAATTTGACTATTACAATCTTTGCTGAGAATAAAAGTAGTTTTGGAAACTGTATAACTGTGAAATACTACTTTTCATGAGACTTTATATTGTGGTAGTTAATTTATGTGTAAAAGATAATAAAAATGTGTGGGTTAAATAAACTATAATGTATTATTTTTTGTTTGTTAATTTCTTTTAATGCATACAAAATATCTTCCTATATCACAAAACATTATATGCAAAAAAATAAGGACAAACAGGCCTTATATAAGTAATATATTAAGTAATATGAGATCATATAAGTACTATGAGAACTAAGATATGTTATATTGAAAAGTGAAAATGAATGCATAAACTCCATGAGGAGATCTGCTGTGAGTAGTCAATCAATTGAAAGGGTGTTTCCTTGAGGGTGTGGCTGCCTCCCAATATACTGGACACTGGGGCAAAACTTGCTGCTTTCTGCTGGGTCTGGTTTCTACATCTGATTCATCACTTGATCTCCAGTTCTGTGGGCTTGAGCCAGTGGCCTGCTCTATTG